TATGCTTCTTGACAACATCATAACCGCATCATCCCTTGTTTGTTATGTCCTCTGTATCCCCAGCACTTCGGCAATAAATCACTGGTTACTCCCTCGCCGAAAAAATATTCCTCTTCTAAAGTAGATCTGCCTCTACCTTAGTTTTTCATGTTGCATGCTGGTCTCCTAGCTAACGTCTGCCATGTTTCGCCTCCCATACCAGAAGCTCAGAGGGCTAGAATGTGGTAATGATATCTGTTTAACCAGTTTGTCTAGCTGGGTCAACCCCCGTTTCTTATTCTTTACATCTATCGATTTCACGTACGCACTGAAGAGAATTGAGTCATTCCTTCCATGTTCCTGCTATTTAACTCTCGTTGTGCATCGAAGCCAGTGAAGCTTTAGGCAGTTTAACCGTCGTCAGTGCTCCTTCGTTGAAGTAACTGTCTCCATGCCGTACAACAGTACTCAGCGGACAGTGTCATGGTAAAAATGAATTTTCGTGTAACGACATACTGTTTCTCAAACCAAATCTTGTACAGTTTTCTGAAAGCATTCGAGGATGGGAGATCATCATATTTAACTCTGACTGATATAGCCATCGCTTGAGATGATAGAGCAGAGATATTGAAGCTGATCAACTTCCTCAAAAAGTTAAAAATTAGCTGTGCCGGATCGGCATCGTTTTTATTTCTCTACGTTAAGCTAGAGACGGGTTTTCACCTCCCATACTACTCACCAAGAGAATATAATTTGCATAATTCAGGGCATAAAAAATAGCCGGATATCTGGAACTGCGCCTTCTCTTAAGAATGAGATCTTCATCGTTGCAGAGGCAGCACAGTTTCATAGGGGAAAGCTGAGAACAATGTTTAATAGCAAAGGCAAATGCACATCTTGACGAACTTCACAGTTATCGGGAATCATTGACAGTGGACACTGTTCCTGCATATATCTCTTCCAACGTTGTGATTAAATGTCTCACATAGTTTTAAGATTTACTACATATTCAGACGATGTAGCGAATCAAATGCAGCGTTTGAGTCGAGAAAACTGTGGAGCAAGGCAACTGGAACAGTCGGGCATTACTCAGTAATCCTGCGCAGAGTGAAAATTTGGTCTGGACATGGGTACCTCCTCTAGAAGTCTGGTTGATTTAGGGGAAGCTCCCTTCAATGGCATGTCTTAGCCTTTCCATTATTATCCAGAACAAAAATTTCTCCGCTCGTTGACGGTATGATATCACGATATTTGGAACTCTCGGTCAGCGGATCCCCCTTTAGACATAAGGGCAGTTTCTCCACGCTTCGATTCTCATTGGAAACATTTGTAGACCCATATTTGATGAAACAGGGGATGGAGCTTTTCGAACATCCCCGTTTCTCCGTACGTAATTAACTGACTCCTTACGTAATTAATGAAGAAATTTGATCTACGTCTCAGGCCTTCATCTTGAGTGTAACATGGCATTTTGCATTTCTGATTTTGTGGGTAGATCTTTACTAGCCTCTAGTGCTGGCAGAGAATTAACAATGATGAATCTTGAGGGTAGCTGTTGAACAGCTGCTTGAAACCCTAAGCCCATCTGTTGAGCCGTTGCTTCTAACTTCCAATGAGACACCCTTTGCGTCTTGAATAATGACAGATCAGGTTCCCTGCTTACGACTGTCGTACTCCGTTTAACACTGTTCATCACACCTTTTCTGCTTTTCTTATCGATCTTGCTGATTTTCTCCTCCGGTCAAAGTAGTTCTCTTCCCCGCCTGTGTCTCTGCTTGTCTGTCCGACTGAGACGAAGAAGAGCTGTGTTTGATAGTGGAGTAGCATATTGCAAGTACTCTTTTCTAACCTGATTCCTTTGTTCGGGTCAATCTGCAGCAACGTGGCTGTTCTCATCCTTACCCCACCTAAATTTTTCGCCGAGAAAATAACCACTTCTTTGAAGTTTTTGTAAGCTTCTTCGACGTTACCACTTCCTGAGTGGGTACTAAGGATTGCATTAAAATAACTTTGTACCTTCTTTCAGTCGGCTCCTTCGTCATATTTTATCCTGGCAACGGCGTCTAGGCGACACGGCAATGTTTGAACGACATATGGTGATCGGACTCAGTTGAGGCACAACTCCACACTCTAATCTCAGTTAATGAACTGCGCAATTTGTAGTTTGTGAGGACATCAAGCTGGGTGTTAAGGTTAAGTACGGGAATTTTCAAGAGGTTTCATAAAGTCGCTTACGAAGAAAAAGAATCCTTCAGACAATTTAAGCCGTTTGTGACGCTAAAGCTTGACATACTCCTGTTGTTGTCAGTGATGCTGACAATATTGTGACCGCTGAGTGTGCCTGGCCACTTGCTGTGCTCAGTGTTAACTTTTGCATTGAGGTCGCCTGTAACAAATCTGATGTCGTAATCAGACAAAACTTAACAGCCGACTGCAACCAGTCGCAGAAAGCATCTTTCTCGCTATCCCTGAACACATTTTTCGACGTGTAAGCGGCAGTAATATTCAGCGTAGCCTGTTTGACATTTACTTAACAGATCAGGATTTTCTCTGCTACCTTTTCCATCGAAATGAGTGATTGTCCTACCCTAATGTAAAAGTAAATCCCCACACCCTTACTGTAGTCTGCCGCCCGAAATAACCACCTATAGTGACAGTCAAGCGTTCCCTTCCCTTGGAAGCGAGCTTTTTTATCCACCACTACGTCGAGTTTGTACTGATGGCCCATACTTCAGACATCACATAACTTACCTTCGCCAGACGATGAGCGAACGTTCTTAAGTGCAGCACAGAAGTTACTTCTGTTAGGGCAGACTCCTGATGTCACCGATTTCTTGGTTCCTAGTTGAGAAATAAGTTGTGACCCGAAACCGCGGCCATGCAATCATTTCCTTAAGTGCAATAAATTCCCGGCCATTCGCTAAGAAATCAGCCTAACAGCTTTAAGTATAGTACCAGTTTGATTTGAAAAGTGAACTCCAAAATATTCGATCTAAAGTTTTTGTCACGCAAATGGTTGGAACTGTTCTTTGAAAAAATTACTTAAAAACTTTCGCTTAAAGATTATTACTTTAGTGGCTTTTCCTAGTATGTTTGGTTCCTGACACAGCTGCTTACCATTTACTCAAATCCGTAGGCTAAAATATGCATGTGCAACCAGTTGGGGAAGGTCGACGTTGGTCAGAATTGTGCAGCCCATTAATTCAGTCAGTTATTCAGTTTAGGTCACTGTTTATACTTTCTAGTCGCGGAGGTAAACGTGTCAGATGTGTTTTCAACTTCGCGATCCTGTGCCAGTGTTTGCATTTCAGCAAAAGATGACCCTGGCTTGTGGAATGGTGTGCTAGACACTTTCCCTAGACTATTATTGGCCTTACAATCGATCTTCCGCCTCTCGTTTAGTAAAGTAGTAGCTGTTTTGCCTTCCGTTTTGGAACAATTCGCTATGTGTGCCCAAACCATCGCTGCTGTGACTTCTCAGTCTGGAAGCAGCAACTGTATACGAAGCCTTTCTTGGATATCGGAACCCCGGACTCTATAATGGCGCGTAACCCCAGGCGATTCGTCTCGGAAACCCCGTTTCAGCTGCCTCCACCCGGAATCGACGATTTCAGTTATGATCTACAACTTATGACCATAACTGAACATTAGAATTACGACCAGCTTGAACAGAAAGAACTTAGTCTGTAGACTCAACGCTGCTTTAGTCACAGCTGTTCAGACTAATTCACACTATTGGCAGTTCCAATTTGGCCTCAGTCTCTGCCGTTCATTTTCCACCATTAGTTGGATAGGAAAGGAAGTTTGTTACTTCTGGAATATCGGTCTTCCTTTATTTTTATGATTGGGCCGTTTTGGCGCCCATCGTTTCGTGACATTGATGGTGCGGGGTTTATTCTCCGTTTCTGTGCCATTAGCTAGGAGTGCCTTATTTTAAAGACAGTCTACGGCTATGGGGCAGGCGTTGAGTGCAGTCTCCTGTTTCCTTCTTACAGAGTAGTACTCATCAAATTTAGATGGAAGAAGAGTGAGTGACGCTGACCAGGGCTTGAACTAGGGATCTGTTGGTTCTGAGTTCGACGCTCTGTCGTCAGGGCAACCTCGGTCTGAAGCAATATCTGATAAACTCATTGCTCAAGAGAATTCGTGGATAGGAGAAAGATTATCCATTGGCGGAATCGAATCCGGCACCTCCGGAGTTCCATACAGACCTCTTAAGCATTATCATCACGCCACACACCACCCGAGAATACTGCGCCATGGTATGTGGACTTCTCCATCTGCTCCACTGTTTCTTCGTTTATCTGAAGAGGGCAACGAGCAGGACAACGAGAAAGCACTAGGCTTTTCGTTTTAGACGCTGTCGCAAGCATGTCGGCTGCGAAACTTTCGAAAAGCGCTGTGAATCAGTTTTAAAAGATACCAGTAAAACAAGTTTGTCTGCAAGCGGCAACTTCCTCGTCTTAAGATATCCTACGCTGATGAACTCATCTCGTGGCTGCGCCTGACTGTTCTGATTGTCCACATAGAGCAGGGACAGAAGAGGCACGGACCGGAGCCCTGGCAGAAATCTGGTGCCAACGCTGAAGGGTCAGAGGTCCATTTACTCCGTCGCAACACATGCTATCAGCCGATAATGATTGAGTTGCTAGTAGCAACTGTTCATCAATTCCGTATGTTTGCAGGCACATCAGTAGCCCTTTATGCAAAATCCGGTCATGGGGTTCCTCCAGGTCAGCAAAACACGTTTAAGTCTGTTGAACGAATTCCCACGATTTTTTTGCAGTCTGGAGTAGGATTTGGTGTAGAGTCCGGTAACGATATTTCCATGATGGACAGGTAGCTAAGTTGTATGGGAAATCTCGCCATGGTGACCATCCCCCGTTTCTTATCAGGGATTGACAGCGGCAGCGGCGGAGTTAATCCATTGAATTGAATTTTAAAATATCTTCGGTTGCTATTGCGTTTGTCTTCTGTTTTTAGAAAGTGTGTTCGCAGTCCTGCCGCGAACTACACGAGGAATGCCGCTGGTGATTAGTGGCGATCCGAAGGGTAAATCCATCGTTTACTGCTCTGGAAACAGCGTCATTATACGTGACGTGCAGGTGAGATTGGCCTTCTGCTCTTCATAAAGTTTTGCACAGGTCAGTCAATAATCATGCGTAATTTAACAGCAGCTCCTAATTTACGCTGATTGACCGTCTTCCTCCAAAGAGCAAGTAGCTTGATGGCTACCCTTGCATTATATTGCACTAGAATTATATTTTCTTCCCGGATTAATTAGCTGCGCGTGTAATCGTTCCGTCTGGTTTGTAGTCAGAATATTGTTCTGGAAGATGTGGCTTTAAGGTAGATGGAGCCTGTTAAAACAGCTCTTTTGGGTTCATGGTATGAACTTGATCTATTTTGGTTATCATTTCGGCTGAGTCAGATGCTTCGCTCAGTTATGAGCGATTTTCCAACTGGTATCCTCGACTTCGAGTACGACTATTTAGTCCGTGGAGCCATTGAGTCAGAACGGAGAGGCCCTGCGTTCGATCACATTCGGGTCATTCGCTTTTCTTCCTTCTTATGTAGAATGAGTATCATTTTACGGTAAGGAATCTGGAGACTGCGTTCTATGCTTGCAGCGTAACTGCTGTC